TACAGAAATTCTGAGAGAGAAAAAAAAAATTAGAATAAAAACGAGAGAAGGAACATTAAAAAACAGTTACCCAAGGAAATTTAAATATCGATTTTAAATATATTAAATGGAATACTGAACGAAACGAAATGATCATCCATATATCTAATTTTTAGTCTAGGCGCAGATACACATCCAAAGCGTTTGGGCTTACATATTTCGAAGTTGTAATTCATTGCGGTGCTAGATCATATTTATATATGTAGCAATGTTCTTTCAACAAGAAGTTGAATATTAGTTTCTTGACGCTTTTTTCATTTACTACCTTCGCCGTCAGAGAAATTTAAATTTCAAAAACATAAATTATATGTAGACGCGCACATACATTCCTATTGGTCTGGCTGCATGTTTTAGGTTAACCATATATATATAAACAAGGCCAAATAAACCAGTTTTTTAAGAATAAACCAGTTTGACTGATGATCGCAAAAGCGTGAAACCCAGGGTCATAAACTCATATTTCATACAACTGAAAATGTTAGTTTATCGATGATATTGAGTACAATAAGAACTGAATATATATATATATATATATATATATATATATATATATATATATATATATATATATATATATATATATATATATGTCTGTGTGTGTGTTATTTTGTTTTACGCCATATAAACCTATTTAATGTTGAAAACATTTGTCCAAAATCTATTTCTGTAATATTTTTTTATCCTCAGAAATGTATAGCTGGTAATATTATTTAAAAATGAATTGTTGGTAATATTTTTTTAAAAATATATTGTTGGCAATAGATTTTTATGCAAAAATTATTCAAATTTTATTTTTTGCAAAATTATTTCATGATTAAAAAATTTATCACTTATATAATTATTTTACCTCAGTTTCGAGGTTAAATATTTGCCCATTTCTGGTACCCAAAAGAAAAAAAAAACCCTTGTTTTGGACCTGGGAACAGCAGCAATTAAGTCTTTTGATTTACACGAATTTTTCTCCTGATCAGAGGCCTTGCTGTTGGGATCTGTTTATCGTCCAAGTTGACGCGGATGTTAAAAATATTAAACGGGAATACCATGAAACGAACATGTGAGCAACGACAAAGTTCTAGAGAAAATGGAAACAAAAAGGAAATATACTTAACATCAGGAAGAGACTGAAATTTCTAGGACACATTTTGTGGAAAAAAGGCTTGGAAAATCTGATATCCACAGGACAGATTGAAGACGAGAGGGACAGAGAAAAACAACGCGTAACACAGTGAGCGTGAGTAAAAATGAATGGCGGAACAGTGTTTGGGAGAAATAATAAAAGATAACATTTATTAAGAGCTACAAAAGACAGAAAATTGTGGAGAGCCGTTATCGCCTAAGTCTTGAATGGACACAGCACATACAGAAGAAGAAACGGGAATAAAACAGAAATTGTAGGAATAAAGAACAATAAAATAAACAGTGTTACGAAGAATTAATAAATAAACAGAAAAAATATTTGGGAGAGAATAAAAAACAAAAAAAAAAAGAAAGGCACAGTTGGAGCTAAGCAATGCATTCCAAAATTAAACTCGAGTTCTTTGTTGGCGAACAGACAATTGGAGCTTCAAAACAAAGCAAAGAGGATAAAAGCGCATGCGCAATGGGCTTGGTTCCGCCTTTGTTGCTTATAAATCATCTGTTTATGACGTTAAAAAAAAAAAGGACTGCCATAGTTCATTCCCGAATTTTAAATTCTTTTCATTATTCTTTTTTTAATTTTTTCTTTTTCCCCCTGGAAGGGGGAAGAAGTATGGGGGTGGGAATCTTCTGCTCTTTGTCCAATGGGATTGTTTAGACAGTGGAAAACAATGCACTATACAAGATTAGAGCCCTACTCGCTTGATTTCTTACAGAAAACCATTTTTAAAAAGAGAATTTCAAACCGTAAAATTTGCCCGTCCGATGGGGGAAAATTAATTGGAAAAAATATTCATAAAAGATATATATATATATATATATATATATATATATATATATATATATATATATATATATTATTAATGCAGGTTTATACGTTAAAAATGGTATTTATATAGTATACTTACTAAGAGGTCATACGATATTATAAGCAGTATACATTTGCTAGATTTTTCTGTTTAATATTTGTGATTTTCAAACTCGTCAGCAGATGGAAGATAAAAACAGGGTGAATGGAAAAAATTCTGCTTTTATATTTTTTAAGTAATTATTGCATTGCTTGTTTTTGATTTTGTCGACTACACAGTAGAGTTTCAGTTGTCTGTGATTAAAAAGAGTATATATGACGCAATTATTCATCCAGAAATTTGTAAACTGTGATACTGTAGAGCTTTTTTTTTTAAGCACACACAGCTTTCAACACGAACATAGAATGGTTGGACCAATATTTGACATGAGTGCAGAAATTAGGAAAGAGTTGGATGAGTCCCCAGTGATTACGATTGTAGTAGTGAATTTTATTCATCTTCTTAGAGCCAGACCTCAACATGAGGCATATATCAAGGACGATTATGAGGTAGTGCTGCAAGGAAACTGCTTCCCGAGCTGTTTTTACCTGTCAGTTTTGACCCAGTACCATGCCCGAGAGTTAGTAGAACCCAGTCATTGCCCCAGATACCAGTTCTGTGACCACATCACCGTGTTACATCTTGGTAGATAACTCCCCAGACTGCAGTCGCCTTTGATTAATATTTATAGGCCGCAGTCTTGCTTGAGACCAACAAAAACTTTTTAAACAATGATGACGAACTTGTCCTGTAATTATTAGCGTTCACCAACTTAAATAAGGAGACCGTCCTGAAAAGTTCAGGAGATTCCGTAGCTGTCTGGAGACCGTGGTTGAATCCAATGGAGATTTTATTGAATAAATTTATTTTTTAGCATTTCAAGGGATTTTTGTGACAAAATAGTTAATATGTTTTCGTTAAACTTTAGTGTTATTTTCAGTTGTGCGTACACACATACACAAGTTATCCACACACAACACACATATTCACACACACACACAGAACACACACATGGCAGATATATTTAATAAGATAATTGTTGAACATTCCAAGATATTAAAGAAGACGGAAAATTTTATTTTATTTTTTGATATTGAAACAACAATGATTATATAAATACATTTTAAGTCTAGCATTTGAAAAAGACCTTTCCTACTGAAAGTAATTTTGAAATAATATAAAATTGATACAGAGTCTGCCCAGAATGGTTTTCTATTGTAAGTTGATTTCCCGCTTACCATGACCATATTAAATATGGTCGAAGGAATATATTTAAAGAAGTGAAACAGCCACACACAGACAGAGAAAAGTAAATTAAATTTAGAAGATGTGGAATATATATTTTATTGATAATAAAAATTAGTTCAACAGTGAATTGGTCTCAGGTGTCGAATATCCATTTTGTGTTAATTAAAATATAAACATTATTTATTTTATTTAAATTTTTTTAATTAAATCAAAGAAAGAAAAATGAAATGAACGGAGGAACTAAGTGACAAAGAAGAATTTTAGATCATATCAAGAAAGAAATAATCAATCAATCAAAGAAAGAAAGAAAGAAATCTTCAAAAAGAAAGAACATTTAGAGAAAGAAATAAAGTATTTTAAAAATTAAAGAAAGTGGGGAAAGAAAGTAAAACTAAAGATAAAAAGAAAGAAAGGAAGGAAAAAAAGGAACTAAGTAACAAAAAGAACAGTGATTCATGTAAAGAAATAAATAATGAATCAGAAGAAAGAAAGAAAGAAAGAAAGGAGAAAAAAGAAAAATGAAAGAAAAAAGTAAGTGAAAATTAAAGAAATAAAGGAGTTAAAACATAAAGAAAGTACGAAAGAAATTAAAACGAAAGAAAGAAAGAAAGAAAGAACCGGTGAAAAGAAAGAAAATTGAAAGAAAAAAGTAAGTAAGTGAAAATCAAAGGAAGAAATAAAAGATAAAAGGAGGATGGAATAAAAACAGGAACAGAGGAACTGTGCAAGAGAGAAGGATTCTGAATCCTGTACAAAGAAAGAAACAATGAATCGAGTATAGGAAGGAAGGAAGGGAGGGAGGAAGGGAAGGATATACGGAGAATAGAAAGAAGAATCAAAGAAGAAAGAAAGAAAAAAAAGAAAGATAAGAAGAAAAAGCAAGAGAAGTGTAGATGTGTCAGGAATGAATTGAAGGAAAAAGGAAGAAAGAAACAATGTCAGAAAGGCAAAAGAAAGGGCAAGAAGAAAAGAAAGAACGAACAAAGGAAACAGGCAAGAAGAAAAAAAGGAAGGAAGGAAGGAAGGGAAGGATACGTCGAAGAATAAAAAGATGTAAAAGAAGAAGAAACAAATTGAAGAAAAAAGACAAGAAGAAAAAATTAAATGAAGGGAATATATTGATAATGAAAAAGGAAAGAAGAAGGAGGAAGGAAGGAAGAAAGGAAGGAAGGAAAAACAAAGAAAGAAAGGCAGAAGTAAAGAAATAACGAACAAAGGAAAAAGGCAAGACGAAAAGGAAACAAAGACGAAAGGAAGGAAGAAGGAGCGGAAGGAAGGAAGGAAGGAAGAAGAAGGAAGGAAGGAAGGAAGGAAAAACAAAGAAAGAAAGGCAGAAGTAAAGAAATAACGAACAAAGGAAAAAGGCAAGACGAAAAGGAAGAAGGGAAGAAAGAGCAGATGGATAGAATGAAGGAAGGAAGGAAGGATGAGAGGGAGGGAGGAGGAGGAAGGAAGAAAGAGAAGAAAGCAATTAAGTGAAAATCATAGGAAGAAAGAAAGACAAACTAAAGAAAGAAATAAAGAGGGTAAGAAAGAAACAGGAAAGAAAAGCTAAAGAAAGAAATAAAGAAGGTAAGAAAGAAAAAAAAACTAAAGAAAGAAATAAAGAAGGCAAGAAAGAAAAAAGAAAGAATGAAAAGCTAAAGAAAGAAATAAAGATGGTAAGAAAGAAAAAAGAAAAATTATACAAAAAAATAAAGAAGGTAAGAAAGAAAAAAGAAAGAAAAACTAAAGAAAGAAATAAAGAAAGTAAGAAAGAAAAAAGAAAGAGAAACTAAAGAAAGAAATAAAGAAGGTAAGAAAGAAAAAAGAAAGAGAAACTAAAGAAAGAAATAAAGAAGGTAAGAAAGAAAAAGAAAGAGAAACTAAAGAAAGAAATAAAAGAAGGTAAGAAAGAAAAAAAGAAAGAAAAAACTAAAGAAAGAAATAAAGAAGGTAAGAAAAAAAACTAAAGAAAGAAATAAAGAAAGTAAGAAAGAAAAAGAAAGAGAAAACTAAAGAAAGAAATAAAGAAAGAAAAAAAAAAAAAAGAAAAAAAAATTGAAAGAAAGAAATAAAGTAAGAAAGAAAAAAGAAAGAAAAACTAAAGAAAAGAAATAAAAGAAAGAAAGAAAGAAAAAGAAAGAGAAACTAAAGAAAGAAATAAAGAAGGTAAGAAAGAAAAAAGAAAGAAAAACTAAAGAAAAGAAAGAAAGCAAGAAAGAAAAAGAAAGAGAAACTAAAGAAAGAAATAAAGAAAGTAAGAAAGAAAAGAAAGAAAACTAAAGAAAGAAATAAAGTAAGAAAGAAAAAAGAAAGAAAAACTAAAGAAAGAAATAAAGAAAGTAAGAAAGAAAAAAGAAAGAGAAACTAAAGAAAGAAATAAAGAAGGTAAGAAAGAAAAAAGAAAGAGAAACTAAAGAAAGAAATAAAGAAAGTAAGAAAGAAAAAAGAAAGAGAAACTAAAGAAAGAAATAAACAAGGTAAGAAAGAAAAAAAGAAAAAAAAAGAAAGAAATAAAGAAGATAAGAAAGAAAAAACTAAAAGAAAGAAATAAAGAAAGTAAGAAAGAAAAAAAGAAAGAGAAACTAAAGAAAGAAATAAAGAAAGTAAGAAAGAAAAAAAAGAAAGAGAAACTAAAAGAAAGAAATAAAGAAGGTAAGAAAAAAAAAGAAAGAAAACTAAAGAAAGAAAGAAAGAAGAAAGAAAAGAAAGAGAAACTAAAGAAAGAAATAAAGAAAGTAAGAAAGAAAAGAAAGAAAAACTAAAGAAAGAAATAAAGTAAGAAAAGAAAAAGAAAAGAAACCTGAAGAAAGAAATAAAAAAGTAAGAAAGAAAAAAGAAAGAGAAACCAAAGAAAGAAATAAAGAAGGTAAGAAAAAGAAAAAAGAAAGAAAAAAAAAGAAAGAAAATAAAAGAAAGTAAGAAAGAAAAAAAAGAAAGAGAAACCAAAGAAAGAAATAAAAGAAAGTAAGAAAGAAAAAAGAAAGAAAAAAAAGAAAGAAAGAAGGTAAGAAAGAAAAAGAAAGAAAACTAAAGAAAAAAAAAAGAAAGAAAAAAAGAAAAGAAAAAGAAAGAAAAAGAAAAATCTAAAAAGAAAAAAAGAAAGAAAAGAAAAGAAAGAAAAAAAAGAAAGAAAGAAACTAAAGAAAGAAAAAAAAAAAGAAAAAAGAAAGAAAAAAAAGAAAGAAAGAAAAAGAAAAGAAACTAAAGAAAGAAATTTAAAGAAAAGAAAAAAAAAGAAAGAAAAGAAAAAAAGAAAGAAAAAGAAAGAAAAAAAAAAAGAAAAAAACTAAAGAAAGAAAATAAAGAAAGAAGAAAAAAAAAAAAGAAAAACTAAAGAAAGAAAGAAAGAAATAAAGAAAAAAGAAAGAAAAAAAAAAGAAAAAGGAAAAAAAAGAAAAAAGAAAGAAAGAAAGAAAAAAAGAAAAAAAAAAAAAAAAAAAAAATAAAGAAGGTAAGAAAGAAAAAGAAAGAAAACTAAAGAAAGAAATAAAGAAAGTAAGAAAGAAAAAAGAAAGAGAAACTAAAGAAAGAAATAAAGAAGGTAAGAAAGAAAAAAAGAAAAGAAACTAAAAAAAAGAAATAAAGAAAGTAAGAAAAGAAAAAAAAAAGAGAAAACTAAAAAAGAAATAAAGAAGGTAAGAAAGAAAAAAAAAAAAGAAAACTAAAGAAAGAAAAAAAGAAAAGAAAGAAAAAAAAAAAAAGAAAGAAAAACCAAAGAAAGAAAAAAAAAGAAAGAGAAACTTAAAGAAAGAAATAAAGAAAGTAAGAAAGAAAAAGAAAAGAAAAACCAAAGAAAGAAATAAAGAAGAAAGAAAAAAGAAAAAAACTAAAGAAAGAAATAAAGAAAGAAAGAAAGAAAAAAAAAGAAAGAGAAAAGAAAGAAAGAAAGAAAGAAAGAAAAGAAAAAAAAAGAAAGAAAAAAAAGAAAAGAAAAAAGAAAGAAAGAAAAAAAAAAGAAACAAAAAAGAAAGAAAGAAAAGAAAGAAAAAGAAAAAAAAGAAAAACTAAAGAAAGAAATAAAGAAAGAAAGAAAAAGAAAGAAAAAATAAAAGAAAGAAAAAAAAAAAAGAAAGAAAGAAAGAAAAAAGAAAAAACTAAAGAAAGAAATAAAGAAAAAGAAAAAAAGAAAAGAAAACTAAAAAAAGAAATAAAGAAGGTAAGAAAGAAAAAGAAAGAAAAACTAAAGAAAGAAATAAAGAAAGAAAGAAAGAAAAGAAAACTAAAGAAAGAAATAAAGAAAGTAAGAAAGAAAGAAAAACTAAAGAAAGAAATAAAGAAGGAAAGAAAAAAAAAAGAAAAAAACTAAAGAAAGAAATAAAGAAAGTAAGAAAGAAAAAGAAAGAAAACTAAAAAAGAAAAAAAGAAAGTAAGAAAGAAAGAAAAAAAAAAGAAAAAATAAAGAAAGAAAGAAAACTGTCTTAAGAAAGAAAAAGAAAGAGAAACTAAAAGAAAGAAAACTAAAGAAAAGAATAAAAAAAAAGAAAAATGAAAAAAACTAAAGAAAGAAAGAAAGCAAGAAAGAAAAAGAAAGAAAAACTAAAAGAAAGAAAGAAAGAAAAAAGAAAGAAAATCTAAAGAAAAAAATAAAGAAGAAAAAGAAAAAGAAACCAAAAGAAAGAAAGAAAGAAAGTAAGAAAGAAAAAAGAAAGAAAAACTAAAGAAAGAAATAAAGAAAGAAAGAAAGAAAAAGAAAGAAAACTAAAGAAAGAAATAAAGAAAGTAAAAAGAAAGAAAAAAAAGAAAAAAAAACTAAAAGAAAGAAATAAAGAAAAGAAATAAGAAAGAAAAAAGAAAAAAAAAGAAAAAAAAAAGAAAGAAATAAAGAAAAGAAAGAAAGAAAAAGAAAGAAAAACTAAAGAAAGAAAAAAGAAAGAAAGTAAGAAAGAAAAAAGAAAGAGAAACTAAAAAAGAAATAAAGAAAGAAGAAAGAAAAAAGAAAGAGAAACTAAAGAAAGAAATAAAGAAGGTAAGAAAGAAAAAGAAAGAAAACTAAAGAAAGAAATAAAGAAAGAAAAAGAAAAAGAAAGAGAAACTAAAGAAAGAAATAAAGAAGGTAAGAAAGAAAAAAGAAAGAAAAACTAAAGAAAGAAATAAAGAAGGTAAGAAAGAAAAACTAAAGAAAGAAATAAAGAAAGTAAGAAAGAAAAAAGAAAGAGAAACTAAAGAAAGAAATAAAGAAAGTAAGAAAGAAAAAAGAAAGAAAAACTAAAAGAAAGAAATAAAGAAAGAAAAGAAAAAAGAAAGAGAAACTAAAAAAAGAAATAAAAGAAAAGAAAGAAAAAAAGAAAATTAAAGAAAAAATAAAGAAAGGTAAGAAAGAAAAAGAAAGAAAAACTAAAGAAAGAAATAAAGAAAGTAAGAAAGAAAAAGAAAGAGAAACTAAAGAAAGAAATAAAGAAGGTAAGAAAGAAAAAGAAAGAAAAACTAAAGAAAGAAATAAAGTAAGAAAGAAAAAAGAAAGAAAAACTAAAGAAAGAAATAAAGAAAGTAAGAAAGAAAAAAGAAAGAGAAACTAAAGAAAGAAATAAAGAAGGTAAGAAAGAAAAAAGAAAGTGAAACTAAAGAAAGAAATAAAGAAAGTAAGAAAGAAAAAAGAAAGAGAAACTAAAGAAAGAAATAAAGAAGGTAAGAAAGAAAAAAGAAAGAAAAACTAAAGAAAGAAATAAAGAAGATAAGAAAGAAAAACTAAAGAAAGAAATAAAGAAAGTAAGAAAGAAAAAAGAAAGAGAAACTAAAGAAAGAAATAAAGAAAGTAAGAAAGAAAAAAGAAAGAAAAACTAAAGAAAGAAATAAAGAAGGTAAGAAAGAAAAAGAAAGGAAACTAAAGAAAGAAACAAAGAAAGTAAGAAAGAAAAAAGAAAGAGAAACTAAAGAAAGAAATAAAGAAGGTAAGAAAGAAAAAAGAAAGAAAAACTAAAGAAAGAAATAAAGAAGATAAGAAAGAAAAACTAAAGAAAGAAATAAAGAAAGTAAGAAAGAAAAAAGAAAGAGAAACTAAAGAAAGAAATAAAGAAAGTAAGAAAGAAAAAAGAAAGAAAAACTAAAGAAAGAAATAAAGTAAGAAAGAAAAAAGAAAGAAAAACTAAAGAAAGAAATAAAGAAAGTAAGAAAGAAAAAAGAAAGAGAAACTAAAGAAAGAAATAAAGAAGGTAAGAAAGAAAAAAGAAAGAAAAACTAAAGAAAGAAAGAAAGTAAGAAAGAAAAAAGAAAGAGAAACTAAAGAAAGAAATAAAGAAAGTAAGAAAGAAAAAGAAAGAAAAACTAAAGAAAGAAATAAAGTAAGAAAGAAAAAAGAAAGAAAAACTAAAGAAAGAAATAAAGAAAGTAAGAAAGAAAAAAGAAAGAGAAACTAAAGAAAGAAATAAAGAAGGTAAGAAAGAAAAAAGAAAGAAAAACTAAAGAAAGAAATAAAGAAAGTAAGAAAGAAAAAAGAAAGAGAAACTAAAGAAAGAAATAAAGAAAGTAAGAAAGAAAAAAGAAAGAGAAACTAAAGAAAGAAAATAAAGAAAGTAAGAAAGAAAAAAAAGAGAAAAACTAAAGAAAGAAATAAAGAAGGTAAGAAAGAAAAAAGAAAGAAAAACTAAAGAAAGAAATAAAGAAAGTAAGAAAGAAAAAAGAAAGAAAAACTAAAGAAAGAAATAAAGAAAGTAAGAAAAAAAAGAAAGAGAAACTAAAGAAAGAAATAAAGAAGGTAAGAAAGAAAAAAGAAAGAAAGAAAAACAAAAGAAAGAAAGAAAAAAGAAAGAAAGAAAGAAAGGAAACTAGGCGACAAAGAAGAATTCTGTCTCCTGTAAAAAAGCAAGACCCAATCAAGTATGGTGAGAAAGAAGGAAAGTAAAGATTAGAATAAAAAGGAAAAAAGGAAGAAAGGAAGAAAGAAAGAAAGAAAGAAAGAAAGAAAGAAAGAAAAAAAGAATAAGTAACTAAGCGAAAATTAAAGAAATAAAGATTTAAAAATGAAAGAAAACGGAGTAAAAATGAAATTAAGGAAAGAAATACAGAAAAGAACAGAAGAAAACTAAGTGATGAAGAAGAAGAAGAAATCCTGTAAAAAAGTCAATTGTGGGGAAAAAGAAAATGAAAGATAGATAGAAAGAAAAAATGAAAGAAAGAAAAATTAAAGAAAAGGGTGGAAAGAATGAAAATTTAAAGTAAGTGAAAATTCAGGAAAGCTGTAAAGAAAGCAGATTAAAGAAAGACAGAAAGAAAGAGAACGAAGCGACGAAGAAGGAGTCTGAATCATATAAAAAGAAAGAAAGAATCAATCAAGTATTGAAAGAAAGAAAATAAGAACGAAAGAAAGTGAAAATTAACGAAAGAAATGAAAAAATTAAAGGATGAAAGAAAGAAAAACTAAAGAAAGAAAGGGATGAAGAAAGAAATAAAGAAAGAAACAGAGGAAGCAAAATGACAAAAAAACATTCGAAACCATTTATAAAAGACAAAAATAATCAAATATGGCGAGAAAGAAAGAAAGAAAGAAAAAAGAAAGGAAGACATGAAAAATGAAGAATGGAAGTAAATCATGAAGAAAATGCAAGCAAGCAAGAAAGAGAGGAAGAAAGAAAGAAAGAGAGGAAGAAAGAAAGAAAGAAAGAAAGAAAGAAAGAAAAAAGAAGGAAGGAAGGATGGAAGGAAGGAAATAGGAATGGAAAAATTAAAGACATTAAGGAAGTAAAAAAGGAAAATAATAGACAAAAATTAAGTTCAGAGCAATTAAAAAAAGAAAGTAATAAGAAAGAAAGAAAAAGAAAGAAAGAAAAGAAAGAAAGAAAGAAAAGAAAGACTGAAAGTAAAACTTAAGGAAAGAAAGGAGGGAGGAAGAAAATTGAAATTACAAATTAAAGGAAAAAAATAAGAAAAAATATCAGTAAAAGGAAAACTGAAGAAAGCAATTTAGAAAAAAAATTAAAGAAAGCAAAGAAAGAAAGAAAGAAAGAAAGAAAGAAAGAAAGAAAGAAAGAGGAAAAGAGCCGGTGAAACTAAGCGACGAAGAAGAATTCTGAATCAAGTAAAAAAAGAAATAATCAATTAATTGTGGAAAGAAAGAAAATAATCATTAAAGAAAGGAAGAAAATTTAAAGTAAGTGTAAATTAAAGAAAGAAATAAAGAATACAAAAATAAGGTGGAAAGAAAGAAAAATTAAAGACTAAAAGAGAGAAAGTAAAAATTAAAGAAAGAAAGGAGGAAAGAAAGAATGCAAAAGCTGAGAGAGAGAGAGAGAGAGAGAGAGAGAGAGAGAGAGAGAGAAAGAGAGAGAGAGAGAAAGAGAGAGTCTATGAAATCGGTAAAATGGAACAGAATTATTCGACTGGAATTATAAAAACAACGAAAACGGTTACATTCCAAAAAGTAAAACTTATGAGATATTAAGACTGGAAAGAAAAATGTGCGAGGTCTCCTCACACACACACACACACACACACACACACACACACACACACACACACACACACACACACTGGTTAGCGAGTAAACAATGAAGAAAGAAAACAAGAAGGAAAGACGATATATTCAATATAAATGAAAGATAAAAGAGAAAACGAATTGTCTAAAGAGGAAAATTATTATCATAAAAAAGTAAAATAGTAAACGAAAAATTGTAAATTCAGTAAAATAGACCCAGAAATGAAATTTAAAAAAAAATTGAAGCAAAAAAAGAAAAAAAGAAAAGAAAAAAGAAATGAAAATAAAATGAAACAAACAAATGAATAAATAATAATAATAATAATAATAATAATAATAATAAAAACAACTACCAATAAAACATCAAACGAAACCAATGCTAACAAAGCGGGAAAAAAAGACCCTGTTAGAAAAAAAAACAAACGAGGTGAGAGAGTAATATTTTTTGGCAGATGCAACCCACAAAAATTCTAACCGATGCCAAATAACCCGAGTGTACGACTGGCATCTTTCTGACTTTATCACACGCGCCAATCAGATCTAAATGATACACTCCATTATATATATATATATTTTTTATGCCAGTTCTTATTTCCCGCCTCTGTTTCGCCTGTTGTAAATATCGCCATTTTCCCTCTCTCTTTACACAGCTGCCATTTTGATTCTATATCATTTCTATGAAGTTTTACTTACCGAGTTAATTGCTTAACCCCTTTTTTCCTGTTCTCCTCTACCCCGTAAAATTTAATTGTAGCTTTTCGTTCTTTCAATCTGACAGTCTGCCCAAAAACATTTCTTTTTCATTCAGTTTTTATTTCCTTCTCCATCTCTGTTTTGATATAACACTCTTTTTCCTGTCTGAGGCAAATGAAATCGGGCGGATACGTTAAGCATAATTGGCTTAAAACATCGGGTACACAATACTGATGATCTTGTGTCGTACTAAGCTAGTCTTTGTAAACATTAATATGGACGCATAGCTCACTACTCTGTCGCTAAGAATTGCTCGGACGAACTACATTCCTTAGTTCCAGCAGTTCTAACCTTCACTCACGGCTAAGACCCGCCATGCTACGCACATGGTAACGAACTACTCTCATTCTATTCGTATTCCATTGGTGTGATGGAAGTTCTTCCCGCGAATAAATTTTCTGTGGAACAGACTCCCACGAGGCTGTTTTCCAGATCACGACAAGTCTAGGGTTATTCTTATCTTCCCCATATATCCGCATAAATTGTGCCGTTTACTCTGTAACCCTCTACCCCGAGTGGCTCTTGGGCCTTGTACAAAGTGAACTTCATTGCAAACTAAAGCCGTGGAGTTGCGGCAGAAGTTTAGTGCGTTCGATGTATTTATTACATGTAGAGGGCTTAATAAATAACATCAGGGACGTCCTTGGACGAAAGCTTAGACCCTTAGTCACTGAGCGGTATGATTTGACTATTTACGGTGAAATATTTATTTTTGCTTTGTTCTTTTTTTTTATTATTATTATTTATAATATCAAGTCCCTTTAGGATGTAGATTATCATGATTACCTCGCATTCGTTTTCATTATTATCTGTGATTTTCTTGGAATTCAGAGTGGCCCTTCTTTTAAAATAGGTGCCACCCAATGTTTGACAGGCCGGCCTATATCCAGTAGGCACGAATTCATGCTTTTTCCGAGGTCATAAATGCGAATGTGAATACAAAAGACTAACCCGTAATTTGAACTTGGATCGTCGATTCCGCTTTCTGTGCCGGCACACTATCAGCAGATCTGGCCTAATCGGGGTAGTGACACGTCGCGCATCGGTTGGTGCCTCTGCGTGTATTTTCCGGTGGGCAACCCTCATGCTCCAGTCTCAGCCACGTTTGGCTAGTTTGTAATTCCTTTGACGACAGATAGTGCTAATTATGTTGGCCTTTTAAACTGCTCTCTCTTAATCATCTAAGTGACCCCTCTCTGGCTTCCATCAGCATGGCTGATGCTAACCTCTAGGTGAGGGACTTGTTGCGCCTTCTTGGGTTAACATTCTCGGCTGACATGTAGTGGAAAGACTACACTGAATCCATTGCAAGGTCAGCTGCTACGGAAATTGGTGCACAGTGTCGTGCTAGACATTTTTTTTTCTCCAGAATCTATCTTACATATCTATAAGTCTACCATTCGCCTATGCTTAGAGTACTGCTGCCTCATTTGGTCTGGTGATTTATTTAGAGATTCTTGATAAAATACATAGAAGAATCAGCAATATTATTGGTCTTGACCTGGCATCTCAGCTTCAGTCACTTTCTCACTGCCGTAAAATTGCTTCTCTGTGCCTTTTCTATAAATACCTTTTGTGATGTCAACGACCCTCGTTGGCACTTTTGTAATGTCAGCGAATACTCGTTGTCATTTTCGCAATGCTCGTTGTAGTAGAGACTTTGCAATCGCAGGTACAACTATAGTAACGCCGTTGAACAATACTGGTGTCAGACGCCTTCGAATAGCACTCGCACTAATAGTACTTGCTCAATAATACTCGCTCGAATAGTAACCACCGTGTAGTGATCCGAATAGTAGAGATAAGGAATAGAGTAGTGAATAGCGGTCCGTATAGCAATAGAGGATAGAATAGAAATAGAGATCCGAATAGTAATAGAGGATAGACTAGAAATAACGAACAATTAGAAGTCAGGCAACCTACTATTTATGCGTTTCCTCTATGGTCACGTGGTCTACTTAATTCAATAATGGGATCGCTCGTGTTTGTTCTCTGGCGATCTATGTTCAAACCCAAGTGTCGGAAGCGACACTTTATTCCTATTGTTATAGTGGAACACACCTATTCTATAGTTAATAGACTCTCCCACCTATAATAAGTAGGAGTAGTAAGAGTAACGAGGCAGTCGGTCAGTCAGTCGATGTCGGACGACAGTTAGTCGAATACGAAAGTAGTCAGCGACCACAACTAGATTACTGTGCGTCATACCTATTATATCAAGTTCCTAACGTTTTGTACGTCGAACCTATTTTAGGACCGACTTAGTACAAATACAAGCCTCCACTGTGAAATCACTCCACAACACCTATGTAACAACTTTCATGGTAATTTCACAAAAAAGTGCTCGGGAGAATTATATTTCTTGGTCCCGTTAGGCGTAATATTCATAGCAAGTACCCATCAGGCCACATGCATTGTAGCAGACCAAAATAAAAATATCAATGAATTGTTGCCTGAAAGAATTGCCTGGAAGAATGCATTTTTTCAAAATTTATAATTACAATTACATTCCATTATCTGTTTAGACAAATTTAATACATTTATGAATAAAAAATATTTTCCTATTTATTTCTTTATGAATTGAAAAATAATAAACATTGCATTGTATTAGTTAGCTGGTTCGCAATTTTTAGAATGTTGTAAATATGAAATTATTCTTGTAAATAAACAATCTAATAAATAAATACTGTTCAATATTTCTGATATAAACTCTCAAAGAACAAAGAAAATGTACGAATTCAATTTCATATATTTAAATTTTATAAAAAATCTAATCTTCCCTTAAAAAAAAATACAAAAAACCAACGTACATTGCCGAAGGAGTAAAGGTAGTTAAAATAATATGGGTGTCAAGGGAAAAACTGTCCTTTTGTCACACCGTTTTATTTTTTTATTTTTTATTTTTTTTGCTGGCACGACAGGTAAAGAATCCCAAATGATTTTACTCTAAGTTTATCTCTTGGAGATAATTGTTTATCAACGATTGAACCAATTTCGGAAGAAAGTCATTAAAAGTTAGTGTTCCATACAGTTGGAGACAAAAGAATTTTACAATTCTTGCTATTATTGATAATACACTATCTATCTATCTATCTATCTATCTATCTATCTATATATATATATATATATATATATATATATATATATACCGGGTGTAACAGCAAAATTGTCCAAATAGTGCATAATTATCAATACAGCATAATTATCAATCCCACAAAATGTTTAAAAACCCCTAAAACTAAACTAATTCCGTTTCTTTTTT